CGGGGGCGTCGCGCGGGGGCGCCGGGGCTGGACGCGGGGCGGCGCGATCCTTCTCGGCCTCTCCCGCCTCAGAGTGCAGAACAAGAAGCTGTATCTCGCCACCTTCGCTGCTGTCTTGGGACCTCTTAGCTTTGGCTTCGTGCTAGGCTATAGCTCACCTGTTATTCCAGAGCTGAGTAAAGCCGACGATCCTAGACTAAGACTGGACGGTAATCAAGCGTCGTGGTTTGGGGTAAGTCTCTGTAGGATTCTTCACCGTTAAGTGACTTCAGTTGAAGGTGTAGGTCCAGAAGATGTTGTTTATATGGCAGGGTCTTACTTTCCTTTAGGAGGATGATAAATGCAAACGTTACTAATGAAGCCTAGACTTTTTTTTTTAATTTTTTTCTCCCTAAACTCAGTGGTTGGTTCAAATCTTTTCTGGATAGCAATGATATTATTCTTTGGTGACTCTCAGCATGTACTAAAAGATGGCCCTATTCACTGAACTCCTTTTTGGTGCTAAAATGTCTTCTCACAATTCTCAGCTTTCTCAGTTGTAGCTGTTAAGGGACCACAGAGGATAAACTTTTTCATAAATTAGGTGCCATCCATCAACATAGGGAATACCTGCTTTTTGGATGCAGGCTGAACTTCAGGTTAGTTAAGACTGTAACTTCTCCAGGGCTTTAAAACATTTTGAAGAGCTAGTTGAACAGATGGCATTTTAGATGGATAAAAAGAAATACTGAATTTTTTCTTCTTCAATGAAAGGTCTTTGTATTTAATCTAAAAATTATGTGCTGCTCATTTGTGGTGAGGAGTAATTCTGGACTATGTTTTGATAAAGAAGTTAATGTTAACTGTTTTTTTTTTTAAACACCTCTATGTACTTGCATATTTTGTTTAGAAGCTGCTATTTAATTTCTAAAATATTTCAAGAAATTGGAGTCTGATATACAAACACACACATACATATAATATGTTTGTTTGTTTTTTAAACTTATCTTCTGAAGTCTGTAGTAACATTAGGAGCTGCTGCTGGAGGAATACTGGGAGGCTATCTTGTGGATAAAGTTGGGAGAAAACTGAGTCTAATGCTGTGCTCGATACCATATGTTTCTGGATATATAGTTATTATTTCTGCTCAGAATATTTGGATGCTTTATTTTGGAAGAATATTGACCGGCTTGGCCAGTGGAATTACTTCACTTGTTGTTCCGGTGAGTAAGGCATCTTTTCTGCTTAGCATATTTTCTGTGTGTTTTGGGGAGGATGCTGGGTTGGAGTGGGTTTTTTTTTTTTTTGTCATTTCTTAGCGGCTTGGATGAAATAACTGAGCAACTGTAACCAATGCAATTTGTGGATTTAGAAGAAGCTGATTTAAAAAAAAAATCTCATGTTGTTTTATTCATATTTTTATTAAAAACAAGCAAAATAAGTTTTGTCTCTTCTAGTGGCATTTGCCGCTAGATGCATTCCAGTATGCATTCATAATACAGTGATGTGATCTTTCATTTTTTTAATCCTTTTTTCCTTATCTGAGTGTTTCTGTTTTGTTATTGTCTAGTAATTCATTTTTCTCTCCAAATGCCTCATATATATACGCACGCCCACGCACAGGCATGCGCGCGCACGCATACACACACACACACACACACACACACACACACGCATACACACGTAGCATTAGAATTTTGGGAGGGTTTTTTGCTATCACCATCTGCTTCTAGTAGTCTGAAGATATCTTGTATTTCACCAGACTTCTTAGGTTTGCCAAATAAATTATGGCCGCTGTCTCATTCTAGCGCAATGCCAAGCAGTGAATTCTGATTCAGCTCTTGCCTTCTGAACATTAACTTCTCCCTTGCATTCAGAAATATTTGTACAGTAGGGAAACGGAAAGAATTCATGCCCTTTTGTTATCTTCCTTCTCTGGTATTATTTGACATGTGTATCTAACTGAATAGGTGGCAGTATGAAATAAACCACCTAACATTTGCATTTGTTTCCTTTCTGGTGGGTCCAGCATTTCCAGCTCTTGAAGTGATATGCCTACTAAAAATCAAAGGATAAACTCCTAACGCACTGTTGAATAAATGCTAATTCTTTATCATTTAGGACCTCCTCCCTCAAATCTTTTTTTAGTTTTATTTTTATAAATATTTAGATTGGTAATCCTGTGTAGCTTACTTATTGTTGAAAATATGCTTTCTTAGTCTGGTGCATTAGTGTCTTTGGAAGAGTTCCATCTGCTTTCTCTTTGTTTTCACTTATGTAAAGGATTTAACCTGCAGCCAACAGGAAAAAATTTATGACTACAGTGATGAGGGAGGGGAGTGTGATGTCTTAACACCCTGTGATTTTAGTTTGAAATAATTTTTGAACTAAGAGTTGCTTGTTTTCCATCTGAAAAAAAGTAAGAGCTGTAACTTTGTGAAGAACTGTATGCCTAGATAGGAGGGATTTCTCTTTCATGTATTCAGCTAAGCTGTAACTGTGGACTTGAGATCAATGTAAAAAAATAGCTGAGCAGTTTAAGTTATCTCAAATATCGGATGAGATGTGATGTTATTTGTGTAATGTGTAGTTGGACAAGAGCTGATAATTTGGGCCTTCATGGAAGATGAAATAATTTGTGCTCTTTATGTTGAATTAAAATTTTCAAACTTTTATTTGCAAAGAATTTTATCTGTGGCTCAGGTTATGTGTCTATGCAAAGACTGCTCCAAACACCAGGCCACTTTGTGAGGATGTGTTTCTTGTTGATTATGGCCAACAAAGTAAGTCCTTAAGATTGCAAGATTGTTTTCATTTCTGAGATGCTGATACTGCAGTTTACCAAACATCATCAGCATTCTTGTGTTTCAGGGCTTCCCTTCTTTCCAGGGTTTTTCATTATGGAGATATGAATTTCTGAGATGGTACTTCTCTACTTACTCCATTTTATTGAGACTTTTTTTGAGGGGAAGAGTTACTGGAAAATACACCCATATTTTCCAGAAATGAATTACTCTTCAAATCCTTGCTCTAAAATTGGATAGGAATAATTATTAGGTATTTTCTCCCTGTGTTTTAGGTGTATATTTCTGAAGTATCTCATCCTAAAGTTCGTGGTATGCTTGGCTCTTGTGTTCAACTGATGGTGGTGACTGGCATACTGGGAGCCTACATTGCAGGTATTGGGGTTAGGGCTCTAGATTGCAGTGAAGAATTAGTACTTGTAATAAAAGAACTACATTAAGGAATTGAAAGTATATGTTAATTTGTCTGTACAGTGGATGTTTATAGTCCTCTTTGTTTCCTTTTTGTTGTCCAGGAATAACACTAAAATGGCGCTGGCTGGCAGTGTTGTGTTCTTTCCCATCCTGCATAATGCTTTTGTTCATGTCCTTCATGCCTGAAACACCAAGATTTCTGCTGAATCAGAACAAACGTTCAGAAGCCATAGCTTCTTTACGGTTTCTTCGGGGACCACATGTGGATCATGAATGGGAATGTAGGCAGATTGAAGCTAATGTTGAGGAGGAGGTGATGAGAATCTGATATACAGTAAAAACTTTGTGTATGGAGACAGTATATGAAAGTGTAGTGTAATTAAGAGTTTTACCATAGCTTAGTTTGATGGCCTTTTCTACAAATGGTTGTCCAAACGCATTCCCTCAGCCAAATTCTTACTTACGAAGCAAATAAGATTGGAAGAATCCTTACCTCTCAGCTGTAACTACTATCGCCATTGACTGCCATAGATGTGCACGAGTAGCAGTCAGGCTCATGATCTTGTTCTTAATTTTCTGTGATAGCTATCTAGTTTTTCCACTTTATTTAACAATTTTATAGACTGTTCAACACCCAACCCTAATTTCCTAGTTTTTTTTCTGTTGTACAAACATGTCCTCTTGCATCTCTGTAATAGCATAATTTAGTCCCTTGTAATGAGATGTTAAAATTTAACAGCCTCCTTAAACAGGCATGTCTAGTCTGTAAGCCATGAATTCATTCATGTTAGCTTTCTCTACAAAGGTTTATTTTAATAATGGCAGATAAGAAGGTGCCAGAGAAGTCGAAGAAATCTAATTTCACGTTCATGGACTTTTAAATTCACCACTTTGTTTTCAAAGGATACGTCCATATACTCTGCCAGTACTGTGGCTCAATTACTGTCTCTAGAACTTGACAAAAAGAGAAAAAAATGATTTTATGGAGTCCTCGGATAGTTCAAATGTAAACTATGTTACTACCGAGGCATTTAGGAGGGGGGCATTTAGGCTAAAGATGAACTTACTGGTTTTGAACAGGCTGAAATCTTCTGAGGAAGTTCTTTGTTCTTTAAAGGACTGAATTTTTCATTGAATTACTGTTTAATCTTTTTAACAGGGATTGAGTTTCTCAGAGTTCAAGAACCCTTCAATCTACAGGCCACTTCTTATTGGTGTGGCTCTGATGTTCTTCCAGCAAGTAACAGGCATTAATGCAGTTATGTTTTATGCGGAAACTATCTTTGAAGATGCAAACTTCAAGGTAATTGGAGTGCATTTGCAAATTGGCAAGCATGCCTATTGTTTGAGTTTAGGCAGTGCCAGAGTAAATCTAGATCACGTTAACAAAGTGACTTGATGATGATCCTGTCTGTGTCATAAAGAAGGGTTTGGGTTTTGGTGGGCTTTTTTTTTCTGGGTTACAGAGACCCTCTTGACTGTGTTACTCTGGCATACCTGATCATTATGCTTTTTTTGGGGAAGAATGTTGCAGGCTACTAGTCTGAAACTTTGCTACTGGTACAAAAATTTTGTTATACTCATCTTTGTATGTAGAGTTTTTTTTTTTTTTGTTAATTACAGTTGCAAATCCTCTGCTTCAGAGAAAGTACAACTACAGGGAGAAGTTGTGGCTTCTTGTAAAGCTTATTAAATGATCAGTATGTTATGTAAACTGTCAATGTTTTTTCCTCTTACTGTTGTCATTCATTTAAATGACCTCAAATAAAATCCTAATAGTATCTGCTGCTATTGCTTTTTTTCCCTCCCCCTCCCCTTTGGTAAGTCCTGTGGCACAGTTTGACCCAGATTCAAGAAAAGTGCATTTGTAATGTCAGATAAGTGATCCTCTTATCCATCTGAATAGTGAATCCTTCTCCCTACCTCTTTCTTTATTTCAGGACAGCAGAATGGCCTCCGTTGTTGTGGGTTCCATACAAGTATGTTTCACTGCAGTGGCTGCGCTTATCATAGATAAAACTGGACGAAAAGTACTGCTTTACATATCTGGTAAAACGTAGTCATATCTTAAAGGCTATACAAAATCAGGGCTTTAATCAGCATAATTGGCCAAGCGGAGAGAGTTTCTGTGTTGCATGTAAATTTAAGAGTCACTGTGGAATCCTAGGTTTTCCTGTTGGGTATTTTCAGTCTTTACCTAAAGCTGTTAGTCTTGACTAAACTAAATGTAAATAATGCATTTATGAACTAGTAGTTCTAATCCTTTTCACGATAATTTTTCTAATGAGTCTGGTAGACTGAGGAAAACGAGTCAAGTAGCATGCCAAAAACACTTACACAGTTTGGATTAAGCGTTAATATGTCAGATCTTTAAGGGAGTCTAAACTTTCTGATGTTACTGAATTTTGTTCAGTAAGAAATGTAATTTTATGTATAGTAACAAAAAGTGCCCTAACTGAGGGGATTAAGTATTATAATGTATGCATTTTAGGTAGCTTGCTCTATAATTTGAAATAACTGTGATTCAGAAGAGGGAAATCATCATGCTCAGACTAAAAAGATTTTGAGTAGGAGATTAGTTAGGAGCTATCTCCTTAGTTAGGAGATTCATATACACGTTGTAGGTGAGACCTCTTGAAACTACATTTTGCTATCTTTTTGTCATCTTACTAGGCAAGTTTTTACATTGAACTAGCTATGTTACTGAGACAGTTCTTAATACTCTTGATCATCTTTGTGTGTAAGAGATTCACTATCATAATAAATACTCTTATCTGGCTTAGCAACAAGTGGCCGTTTCAAAGTAATACCTTCATTTTTCCATATCTGCTGCTATTTTCATGGAACATTGTGCTATTCAGTAACATATTTTTTAACTTATCAAGTAAATTTGCTAGAGAAAATTAATTGTTTGATACAATTTTGCTGCATACTCAAGTCAATAGTAATGACTGCTGTCAAGACTATATTGTGCTTGACAGCACTTAGAATGATTATGTCTGGGATTTTTCAATTTTGTCAAGTCCAGTGTTTGTTCCTAAGAACACTATCATGTAAGAAACATTTCTGCCAGGGCCTGCAAACCTTATATTTGTCTGACCAACTGTGTTCTCTCTCTCAAAAGAGTGCTCAAGTGACAATCAATGACAGTTTGGTAATTGCTTACTTTTTCAGGGATCATCATGGCTCTCAGTACTGCATTGTTTGGGTTTTACTTTAAAATGGTCCTTCCAAATCCAAACAACTCATCACATCCTGATCTACTTTTAAATACAGTAGCCCCAGGAACAGAAAGCAACCTATCCTGGCTCGCTGTAGTGAGCCTAGGGCTCTTTGTTGCGGGTAAGTGGGACAGGCTTCTTAGTAGAGATTACAAAAAAACAAACCTTCTGATGAATGTAACAAGTTTGTCACATTAGAAATGAGTTTTGTCTTCAACAGAGCTTTGTAGTGTATAACGTAAAGTTGGGCTGACACAACCCTGGTGGTAGAGCTTAGGAATTAAGTAGTTAAGCCAATATCCTAGGAAATCAATTTATACCTCCTTGGGCTAGTAGTAAGTAGGAATTGCTCAGGTTGAATTGCTTTACAGTCATTAATCAAAATCAGGCTGTGGGAGCATGTGAGCCATGCTGAGTTCTGTGATGGTACGAGGCAGCTGCAGTTAGACAAAAAGTTAATTTTGAAGTCTACCACTTCAGAGACTTCTAGCAAGAAGTTTTGCCTGATAAGAACACCTTTATAAATAATTTGACATAAAGTGCATCATTGTTTACAGTGCTGTCCTTAAAATAGCTTATTAGTCTCCTCAGATGTATTGGGTTTCTAGAATCACAGTGAAAACCATATTCCTTACTTGACTAATGTGGGTATCATTCAGTTTTCTCTTTACAATATGTTTAACTTGCATTTATTCTCTTCTGTTTGTAATTGCAGGTTTTGCCCTTGGCTGGGGTCCCATCCCATGGCTGGTGATGTCTGAAATTTTCCCACTTAAAGCTAGAGGCATTTCCAGCGGTGCTTGTGTGTTAACAAACTGGGTTATGGCCTTCTTGGTAACCAAGGAATTTCATGATCTTGTAGTAAGCATCATAAACTACAATCAGGAGCTTATTAAAGATGCTCCTGGGAGAACATTGGGCCACAGTATTCTCTAGCAATACAGAGCTAGATCTGCAGTATTGATTATAATTTCTTTTTTCCTCTTTTCCCTTCTCTAGAATTTCTTAACGTCCTGTGGCACATTCTGGCTCTTCTCTGCCTTCTGTTGCATGAATGTAATTTTTACAGCCTTTTATGTTCCTGAAACAAAAGGACGGACCCTGGAACAAATTGAAGCCTACTTCAGAAGATCTTAAACCTGAGGCTCTTATATAGATACGAAACTTCTGTATCATGAATTATGGTACCATTGTTAAAACTATCTGCATCACTTGGCAGACTTCTGAGTGACACAATTTGATTTGAGAAAAAATCTGATTTTTATTAAAAAAAAAAAAAAAAAGGGAATGTGCACACACTTTAGCATTTCTGCCTATTAATTGTAGTACACATTCTCACTTGTACAGGTCTTGGACGTATTCTTTTTCCCTAGTTCCTGTGTTCCCTTCACCTGGTCCAGACTGAATATAATGAACAGGCAAGAACGCTAAATGTTTTGGCGAGTTTTTTTTTTTTTTTTTTTTTTGGGGGGGAGGAAAGATGTAAATAAAGATCTAAATTTGCAAAATTTAATTCCTTTGCCCCAGTACACATGTGATGCTGACTTCTTTTATGGCATATGCTACAGAGAAGAAATTAATGACATAGCCTAGGTAATGTGAACTTCAGCCTACTATGACTTTTTTTTTTGGACCTGCTTGCATGTCTGGGATTTCTGACCATGGAATAATGACCATGGAAGTCTTTATCCTGACTAGATATGAAGGCTCTGCTTTCATGTGTATTAGCATTAAGCTGTCTTTTGAGATGCTGGAGTTTGTAAGTTCATCAAGACCTCAAAAAGCTGCCTTGAGCTAGCACAGCTGAATTACCATACTTGTGTAACAGCTGCTAACTCTGTGGTTGCATCGCGATTGCATGATGTTTGTAAATATTGGAATGGCCTTAAACAAGTTTCTCTCACTGAAAACTTTATGAAAAGAGGGGAAAAATTACAGAAGACGACCATTGCTGCTATACTTCTGGTGTGGGATTTATTCTAAGATCCGTATAGCAGGACAAAAGCAGAATCTCATTGCTGACTGAAGGCAGCTAGGGTCTTTTGTCTGATCTTGTAGTAACATGAATAGCCTCTTTGGGCTTGTGTTTCCAGGTAGCAGCTGATGCATGTCCCTGTTTTTCAGGACATGTCAACAGAAACTGTTGTATCAGCAAAGTAAGTTTCAGCTCATTTTGCTTAAAGAAATGACAGTAGTTGACGTCCTGTCTTAAGAGCTATTCCAGGGTGAAGCATCTTCAAAAGCGTAACTACTGTTTGGTTTTAAATTTTGCCAGACAGTTTTTTCCTATGAATGACAAGTTAGCTAGGAATGAATTTAAGTTATGAGAAAGGGTTTAGCTTTCACCACAATATATTTCAGAATTGAGTCAAAAGTATCTCTTTTCCAGAGGTCTTAAGGAGGGGGGAAAAAAAAAAAAAAAAACACAACTCTTAGAATGAGAGTGTACCATTTGCAAAGGGAAAAAAATATATCTTTTGCAGTGTCAATTTAAGGGGCACAGTTCTGCAACTAAAGGAGGTTTCTGAAAGTCTGAAAGACCTCTGGAGACTCTTGCCAACTCCACACAGATGCTGGATATGGTCCTGTCAATGATGTGTTATGGTCAGGCCTCAAATACTAATGTCATTGGTGTGAAACAGCACTTGCATAAATGAATTGTATCCTCTGAAACACAAGTCTCTACAGAGTATAAACGGTGGAAACAGTAATCCAGGGTTGTCTACCCTAGGTCCATACTACCTGTTCCCTTTTAATTTCTGTTGCTTAATGAACCGAGTTTAGAAAAGTAATTAGTCCTGCAAGTGCAAAACAAGTAAGTGATGTCAAATTTATTGTTTATTATATATGAAGGAATAAATGGTGTCTGTTACCACTGCAGAAAGGTAATACATTGCACTTCTTAAAACAGTTCTAGCTGTGATAGGAATGTCTCTGTGGGATACTACATCTAGAACACAAAACATACACGCTGTCATATGACATTAAAAACAATGGCAATACATCAATTTTTAAGACAAGTGGTGGTAGATAGTTTTTCATCACAGAAATTTTAGCAACAGTCTTAACAATATGCAATTATTAAAGTACAAAGCAATCTGCTAACATTCAAAGACTTCATTAAAACTGACATTTCAAGTTGATAACACTTTTTGTACAAACCTTTAGAGACAACATTTTCATTCAACCAGATAAATACCTAACAAAGCTATAAATAAATATGCAAAAAATACTCTTAAATTTTTCTCTTCAAATCATGTCTTAATGTAATTTTTTTAAGTAGCAAACAGTAGTTAGTCAGTTGCAGGTCAGCAGCAAAGTGAAGCAGCTAGGTATTGTGCAGCCTGGCAAAGTTACTGTGCTCTCCTATATGTTAACAGTAAAAATACTTCCTTTCCTGCATGCTAGAATGAATGTTTGCTGCAGCCTGTCACATTTTCCGTATCATTACTATTAGGTCTTTAGTTCTCAGCATATAGGTTATGCCCTCATAAAAATTAGGCAGGTTATTAGAAAATACTGCTTTAACATAATTGACGGACACTGGCCATATGAACTGTGACACCAAAGTGTTAACAATGGTATTAGTAAGGTACTTAGTTTCGTACATAGACAGCAACAAAAGTGGTACGGCAACACCTTTTCATTTGCAAATGGGATGGTTTGTTTTCAGCTCAAGTTATGTTAGATTCTTAGTACTTTTATTCATTTAAAACTTGTGATAGACAGCACAAACATTAAAAAAAAAAAAAAAGTATGTCCCAAATGCAGGAAAAAAACCCAGCAGAGCTGGCTGGGAAAGCACCTGCAGCTGAAAGTACAAGTTATAAATGCACACCTTTGGGAAACCATGTACTAGCATGAAAGTAAGTAAGTGGCTTATCCTACATAAAACGTACTGGCAGAACAGCAGAAAGTAAATGGCAGGAGCAGCAACTTTGAGCATATGTAACAGGTTAGGCCATAGTGTTGCTCTTCCTGTGGGTCCTACCTAAATGGTTGACTGGGCCCCACCATACTAAGAACTGCTTAAATAGTTACACAATGGCCTAGTACTCAATATTTCATTTGAATCTCGCAGGCAGTAACAAATATTTATGAGACCTATTTGTGTGGCTTACAGGTGTTTATAAATAGTCTTGTACAGGCACACTACTCATTCTGGCTGCTACTTGCATGCTCTATGTTATGCACTTAAAAACAGCAATAATTAAATGCCCCAAACTCAGGAAGGGCTGTAATCAGAACCAGACCACTTTTTCTTTGCAAAACAAGCAATTGAAGGTATTGGTCACATGCATCCATTCTTTCTAGTGTTTATATTTCTGCCTTTTGGCCTTGATAGCACCTACCCCTTCCAAGTTGCACTTGTGTCTTTATCTCTCCTTAGAAGGAAGAGTTTTGTTAGTTTCATTTTTCAAACATTCATAAAATTAATGTGTACTGCATGTAACTCATGGCACAGCCTGAGGCTGTTAACCCACAGAAACCACATCCTTGGACAGTGGCTGTTTGTCCAGTTGTGCCAGCAGTTTCACACGATTGTGCACTAATCTATTTTAGGTATGACAAATGTGATTAAGGTCCTCTATGGAATTTGGTTCTAGTGGCTTGTGTCACAACAAAATTGGAACATCGCTACTGTGCTCTCTCTCCCGGCTACTTACACGCCAGGCTGCTCTCCTACAGTCATATGTAATAGCTACATGTACACTGCCCTAAGGCCTCAGCTACCATCTCTGGGAGTCATATAGCCAAAGTAATGTCACCTGACCCCTTCCCATGTCCTTTTGATAGGTCTGATATTAGCCCCACATGCCTGCAAGCCATGCTGATTAATTATAGAAGCAAAAACTCAAGAAGTGACAGTCTTGTTAAGGCACTTAACTGCATACATTAGGAATAAAGACAGGTAAAATTTTTTTCAGTGTTCAGATCCTGTCTGTCCTATATGAGTAGTAGTCTTTTAGGACCAGAAGGTATCAATGTGACCTGCTAACATTAAGTAAGTTAAGTTACAGCATAAAATTAGGATTAGGAGAAAAAAAAAAAGCCAGTTGACAGAATCCAGGCTTCCCTCTTCAAACTATTCCAACATCCTGTTCGAGATAAGTACCATGTATTCAGTCTGATCATTTTTTGGCAACCTTAAGCATTCAAAATTTAGCAGCACTCTTTTTCAATTCTTTTACTGCTTGTTAATATTTGCTGGCTGTCAACAGTGCTGCTGTTATAGACAGACATATGTATATATAGGCAAAGACTGTGTGTGCGTGTGTGTGTGTGTGTGTGTATACGTGTCCATCCATCTGTGTGTATGCATGTATGTGTATTGGTGTATATACTGCAGATGCTTAAATTCTGGGCAACGCTTTATTGCCACTGTTTTGATTCTGCTCAAAGAAAATAACTTGCCTTCCTGAGCCCCTCTGACTATAATCATGCCTTGGTTATGATGCAAATGCTGCAGCCATACGCGCGGGGGGGTGGGGGGGTGATCTTGTCAAGCTTTCTCCACTCTTCTTGATATGTCTAGTGCTCCATCTCCAAGGCCTTTCTGCATACCTAAATATGTATCGCCTCAAGTTCTTCAAAAACAAGTTTTAAACGCTCTATGTTGCTTCAGCTGCTACTAAGCTATTAGTCATGCCAGAATAGCAGGAGTAAACAACCACAATATATGTAATATTCTGACAATGCAAAGCAAATTTCCAGTTAAAATTTTATCTGAACTAAAGCCTGAGTTTTGCAACACACTGGTACGGTCTTCAAAAACACACAACAGAAGTGAAATACTATACTGAGAATTCAGTTTATGGAAAAGAGAAGGTGATGCTTCTGCTTTCTAAACCTATTCTAGTGTGAGTAGTGCTCCCTAAAGTAGATTCAATGAGTTCACAGATGTTTTTACAACTTCCAGCAAAACTAAGCATCACATGTGATACTTTCAGATTGATTTTTTTTTCCAGCCTTAGCTGACCAGATAAATAGGACAGGATAGATGAATACAATATATAGAAATAACATTTGCAAAAAAAAAAAAAAAGTTACAACCTCTTGCAAAGACTTCAAGCTAGTATTTCCTTTCAGATGTTTATTAAGGTACAGCCCAAACACCTATGGGTGCAAAAAAAAAAAAAAATCCTGAAACTATAGCAGCCATTGGTTAACACTGCTTCTGCTCCTGGATTAATTATTGTTTGAAAATATTGCTTCTTCCCTTGATCAGCCATTACAGTTGAGAATAAGAACTGATCCTTTCAATTAAGGCCTTGCATATTTTCTTAGGTGGAGCAATTAAACCATTACATATAATAATACTTTGAAAAAACAGTTTTACATTCAGACAGACTGAAGTTAAAAAAAAAAAAAAAAAAAGGCACAACTCTCCAGATAGTCATGCTTGGACAGAAAAGAAAATAATCATACAGGAATGATACTACAAAATAAGTCCAGACAGCAGAAGTATTTCTAAGTATAGAGCAAGAAATACTTGCTACTAAAGCTAAAATCTTCATATATAAAAAGCCTGGAAGCATCACATTTTCATGGAAAACGTTAACCCTTTCAAATACTGTTTAAAATTGATTTTTGGCATAGAGGAAAGGGTTAAAAAAAAAAGAAATCACTCCTTAAAGATGAAATTCTGTCCTTTAACATAACAAATGATCTTATATGACCATTTCATCATAGAAAACTAGCTGCTTAGCAGTGAAACTTCAGTCTGGATCTGCTTAGAAAAATACAATTAGCTGGAGCAAAGACTTACACTGTTAATGCAAGAACAGACAACAGCTAATTCTGATGCCTGCATAGGAATCCTTGTGTAGTCAAAAAGGAAATCAAGTGTTGGCTTCTGCCTGTAATGGAAAATCTGTAGGTGCACTACAGGAACAGTATTCCAGCGGATGGAGAAGCAAAATATTTCTTTGACGTTCAATTTTTAAGGAATATTTTGAAAGTTTCTATTTTATATAAAGAGTCTCCCTGCTCAAGGATTCTTAATGCCAAAACAGTTTTCAAGTTTCTTTTAAAAAATGTGCACGGATAGGTCAGTGCAAAGAAAGCAGCATGTTCATATCTTACCTGATCTTTATAGAACATCCTTGATTCTTCAGTGAACATAACACAGCTGCATCATTTCAAAGACAAACTGCACTGTTTGGAAAGTCCTTGCCTATGCCTTTTTTTTTTTAAGGTTAAAAAAACAAAAGGAACGATTTGCATTACCCACTTCTTCTTCCTACATGGCACACTGTTGTAAAACAACTCATAATACTAGCAACAGCAATTAACTTAGCTAAATGTTAATTTCATTCAGATATTTCAAATATAAGAAGTTCAGAAGTATTACTTCTTATTTCACTCAGTTTCGGGCTAGTGCTCTCATTGATTACCTACCTTTTGAATGCCACAAAGAGTAATGGTTCATTAACCAAGAAAAAAAACCATCTATATGTCAAGGATGTAAGCATCACCAAGTTAGGCTGAGCTAGCCGGAACAACATGAGTTCTATAAAGATTAATCACCAATACCTCCAGCCACATTTTATCAATAGAAGCAGTGTTTGTGACATTCCTATACAGCTCACAGCATTATAAGAAAAGGTAAAGGAAAGAAGAAAGGTTTTAAGACTATTATCACTTCAAGTCAATGATGTCTTCATCATAAAAAGAAGTCAGCTGAAAAGCACAGCTAGACGGTGGACTCTCCTCTCTGTTTGCTACAGTATCAGGATCTGAACTAGTGGAAAGATGACGCTTTTCAGCATTGCTTTCAGAAGAGCTTGAGATTATCCTGAAAGAGGAAGACAAAGGTCACTAAAAAAATACAGATCAGAGCAAGTAGGATAAATGGCTATTTCTGGATAAAATCAAATTGTACGAAAGACAGAACACCATTGAAACTGAGTTTCTCTCTCTTTCTTTAACTGTACGTCAGTAACCACTCATATTGCCCAGCACGTAAGCAGAACACAGTTAAAACATAAAATTTATTATAAACATCTGAATATTCCCAAAAGCTAATGATAAAAGTTTTTTTCCAAAAAAATCCTTTCCAAATATTGAAACAAATCAAATATAGTTTTAAATTGCAGCAAATTAACGAAAAGTATCTCAGTCTGTTGTACGCTGGCTAAGTTTTGTCTCTACTCTGCACAAGTGCGGGCTGTGAAAAGAGTGAAAACAGCAGAATGGCAAGGAGACCAGGTGAGCAGAGCCATACAGATAAATGCTACTGTGCCTCTCTCTGTAATTTTGTTTTGGCAGAGGTAAGGTAGGAATATATGAAGAAAAGAGTAAGTGAGTTTGCACAATGCAGATCTAGTAGTCCAGATCCTAATGACAGGCGCTGCAGCAGGTCCCCAACAAAACCCCATTTAGCCTTGTTTTGCTTATAACATGTCTTCAGCAGAAAGTGTAATAACTTAAATAATACTGATATTCAGATACTGATAATCATACACATTAGTATGAAATTCACATTAGCATACAGAGGTCTCAGTGAGGCCCTAGCCCATCGTGACAAGCATGAACAGTTTGAAGAATAGTCTTCAATTCTGAAAACATTTATAGTCTAACTTAGGTTCTTTTTTCAAGCCAGTATATTTACCTGTCACTACTAGTTGATCTTACTGCTCCCTGCTTGGGGTCTGACTGTCTTCGAGGAACCTTTTTTTGCTTCTGTGGGCCTTCTGTCTTGGGAATTGGCTCATCCAAGAGGCCTCAATAAAGGAATAAAAGACTTAATACTCTCAAAAGAAAATTAAATATTCATGAAGATATTAAGATCTCTCTCTCTCTCTCTCTCTCTCATTAGTTTCTATTAGTAACTACATAGTTTCTAGTTGGTTAATAATATCAGACCTAGCATGTAACTAGACACTAGCTAAGCTATTGGCAAATAAGCAGTTTTTCTCAGTTTCATTTGTTTGTAGTACATATTTGCGAGTACAGAAATTTGTGCACATCAGAAATCTGTCTGTGGTGGTCCAAAGATTAAAAATGTTGTAGTTGGTAACTGATATATACGCTAAAGAACGAGGGGACTTTACCCAACAATTCTTTACGTGTTCTGCTTGCGATTTCTTTAATTTCCATACGAGATAATGATAGTGAGTGAGTAACAGGAATAGAAGCAAAGCCACTGGATATCGGAGTAGTGATGACCTTGGGAACCAAAGGTGACTTCAGAGGTCGTTCAATGCTCCGCCCAACCAGATTACTGAGAGGAATTTTGTACAGGTTTTTGCATGGAACATCACCTGAAACATAGAAGGAAAAAAAGAATGTTACACTTCCACAATAGTAATGGTTCTTAATACTGACAAATGAAAAGTTATACAGACTTCATTGTGCTGGAGATGATTTTTAATCCAAATAACAAAGACCTTTCTTGCCCCAGAGACCTTTCAATATAAACAGGCTAGGAGGAGAAAAAAAATACAACTACATTTTGCAGCCTGGCCATTTGGCTTAGAGAGGAAAAGACTGACTCTTGGTGACATGATGAACTGGCAGTGGAAATGTAAAATGAAATTTCCATGTCCTGAGGCGGGTTTCTTGACTACAAGACATAACTTTGCATTCTGTGCAAAGATTTTCCACATATTTTAGAACGCGGGAATACTGGAGCCTGGATCTTAAATCACTTAAATTATGGCTCCTCTTCTTAGGTGACATAAAATACTGTGTGTTTGCCTAATTCCTAGAAAAAAATAATTTACCATCCAATATCACTGCCTTTTAAAAATTAAAATTATGATTCCTTTCTCCTTCCCCCCTCTCCCAAGAGGGCACAGCGGATATAAGTAAGAGATGCATACACCTTGCGTTATCTAGTTGATGTTCCCTTGTTTCTCCATTATTGTTCCCCATTTGATTGATTGTTCACAGATCGTATTACCTTAAATTGACTGTGCAAACTCTTTTCCAGCTGGAACAACTCCTTACTCTTTGCTTGCAAAAGAGCTTTAATCATCCAGTGATAGTTCAGCTGGTCTTAAATGAAATGAATGGTGTGCGTGAAGTCTCAAGTCTTCCCACAACCGAGTATCTCTTTTTGCAGTCTTAGTCTTGGCTATATTGCCAAAGATTCATTCAGCTACTGAAATTTAACTCATCCCTTCCTACAGAAATGATTTCTTCAAAGCAGTGCTGTCACGCATTCAGAGGAGATACTGTGGGGAAAAAGCTCAGCCAGGTGCTTCAGATTTGTGAATAAACAGAAAATGTCTACCTTCTGGACTCAGCTATGAACTCAAAATCTACCTGATTCACTTTCATTTACTAAAGATCGGCTGCATTAAGATGTGGTCGTTCTTGGAATGATCTCAGAACATCATTCTACCTGCCTGGAAACCATATTACCTTCTAAAGAAGAAAGAGGACATTCTGGCATTTCATACACTATCGGTGTTTGAGGAGAACTTCTGGAACTCATTTCCTTGGAACTGCTATTAGATGATCCACTTACTGTAGCAGTAGCTTTAAAATAAATATCTGACTGAAATGACAAAGAACTCATCATTAGTACAGCAGACTTTCTAATTCAACTGTTGAATAAAAAATCAAATGTTTGTCCATTATTTCCTATAGCCATTGCTGCAGTATCACTGACAAGTCAACCATGGTTGACCACAGAAAGATTACCCAACATAAATGAACCCTCCTGTGATGCGGAAGACAGCTTTTGCCCCTTAAACAATCAAATACCTCAGATCTGGATTACTGGGAATAATAAAAGACAGCGAAGATAAATTCTGATTCTCTTTGTACTTGGTACGAAGTAAGAGTGCACATATGAGCAGTTACCACGCATCAAGTAACAAATGTTTCAGTTTTGTTTCGGTTCTTTTTTTCACTGCACCAACTTTTTTGTGAATTAGATTCCAACATCTTACAAATACAAACATGCTTTTCTTGTGTCTTACCCTTGATGCTACAAGTTGAAGTTCAGGCACAACTGCTGTGTGGACTAAGTTCCCGTTCACCACTAACCGGATCTCGATGGAATCAGTAGTGAAGGCAAGAATATAAGGGAAAGCACAAACTGCAATGAAAAGAAATATTTAGCAAGGAAAAATTATTAATGTAAATGTTTCTCAGATGCTCCATGAAAACTGTTCCTGAGTATCTGTCATCTCCCTTTCCTGTGACAAATATTCTCTAACACATTGATGGACTTTCAGCTACATCAAGCCAGAAGAAAACTGCACTCCCTGTGTCCGGCAGCAGGTAGACTGAATGGAAAATGAAAAATAGAAAAAAAGACCAAAGAAAAAAGTTTAGCAAGGAAGAATTTGGCCCCAAGGCTCCACTTTTGAAAAATATCATATGCAGAAACTTAGCTGAAGTGGCATGATGAATGCAACATGCCTATTCCTGGTAAACATGTTGTAACTCCTCTAACAACTAAGTGCAAGCCTAAATATAATGAAAAAAACAGACATTCAGTAAAAAGAAATATGATGATATCTTCTTACCAACAGCATAAGGAACTTGATTCCAGCTAAAGTGGAAGTCGGAAGCTGATGGCTGGATCAGTGGAGAACCTCCATTAAGGGGATACACCTTTCTATACTGACAAACATCTGAAAAAAAAAGAAAAAAGAAAAAAGAAAAAATCCATCACCTTACACTGCAAATGACAAACACTGACCTTATAGGTAGATTTTGCAGAAGTATGGGTTATAGATACAATCAAATATTTTATGTAGAACTTCCTCTATATCTATGTAGGTAATAGGGAAAACATGCTTTGTGAACTCAACATTTGAAAGATCAAAATATACTAGATAGTTGGGCTGTCATTCAGAGGAACCTTGACAGGCTGGAGAAACGGGCTAAGAGGAACCTCATGAAGTTCAACAAAGGGAAGTGCCAAGGCCTGCATCTGGGGAGGAGTAACCCCTTGCATCAGTATACGCTGGGGGCCAATGAGCTCGAGAGCAGTTTTGCAGAGAAGGATCTGGGAGTCCTGATGGACAACAAGCTGAACACGAGCCACCAAGGTGCCCGCATGGCAAAGATGGCCAATAGCATCTTGGGCTGCATGAAGGAAGAACATTGCCAGCAGGTTAAGGGAGGTGAGCCTTCCTCTCTGCTAAGCACTGGTGAGGCACACAAGGGCACTGGACCAGATGATCTCCAGAGATCCCTTGCAATACCAACTATTCTGTGATTCCGTGAATCTACATTTTAATATTTTGGCATATTTCATGAAATAAGTATTCTTCTGTTTCACCAGTCACTTCCTTACCTTGTCTGTGGGTAGAAGAATAGGCAGGAAAATGTCTGAAAGCAATGTCAGCAGTGGTGTAGCTCTCTGCCAGAAGGAACTGCCCTTCAAGCAACCATATGCTAGCACAGTTCACGTTCTTTGAAGACCATTAATACATGTGGGATACTATAGATGCAAAGATTTCATCAATCATATAATTCATGTACCTATTTCTTAGGCGCTGTAGGTGCGGTTTTTCAGAAAATAACGGTCAAACATGAACACTCTGGCTTATACAACTTGTTTGGAATGCAATTCTGAATTTTTATTTGATGCATCTAGGTGATGGGGAACATAACTGTCCATTACCAACAGATTTTTCTCTAGACACGTGCATTACTGTTGATAAAATATCCATTAGAATTCAGAATCTGAGATGCCATGTTAGCAAACAAAGTAAAACCTTAATAAGGAGATAACCTTACAATCATCTTTTGTTCTTGACAAGCTCAGATGAATGTATTGGGGGCTCCAGGTGAACATCTATCAGTGTCTCAAATACGGAAATACTTAGAGCTTATGTGCCACATATCCATTGGTTAATGCTGTTGCTGCTACTCTATTTTTCACTTTCTTCCTTCTTTCTTACAGCTCTACTTTTTTAGACAAAATTCTATTTTTTCTGTAATTGATGTCCTTAGACTGAGCCTAAGTTTAAATCCAGAAACGTACTGAAGATCTTTTTTCTAAACACAAACTTAGGACACTGGCAAATCCTGTGTTTTCATATTTGTTCTACGATGATACTTTGACAATTATGAGACTCCGCAAAGAACAAATGTAGGTTTCCCTGACACTGTCCTAGAAATAGGAATTCAGTGCAAGCCTGCGCAGTAACCGGAGAGTACTTTTGAGATCAGGTAGGTTTGCGAGCTCTGGCTCAGTGATAGGTCTAGTAGAGGGGAACTGATTCTGCACAGAAATATAGCTGTGGGTCTTCACCATGCTCTCTCAGATAGCTTATTAGTTCTGATGCAGTACCAAGTGAAACAGAACCAGCTAGGATATGGCAAGCTACCAGAACCAATGAGGTCTCACAGAGCATAAAGGGATATATAGTTTAGAGACGCTTTAATCCTGCTCTGCAGTACCAGTCCAACAGCCAGTGCTGGAACACAGGCACATTTATCCTGTCTCCATCGACGCTCACTTTGTAAAGGCAAATAGGACATGCCTTCTGGAATACAGCAAGCTGCGCCTTGTCCTTCAGCACCACCTAACAAAGGCTGCTTCATGCTGAGAGCTTCCACTTTCATGAGGATTGAAAGCAAAAGTACATGTGCGTTGCAGGGAGGAGCATATGTGCTGTATCCAAGGCCTTTTTGCAAAAGGAGGTTGAGAGATCTATGATGAAAGAATGGGACAGCACAAAGAAATAGGGTGGAAGACAAAGCACAAAAACAGAATGGGACAGCAAAAAGAAGAAAACAGGAGGAATGATAAACTGTACATGTCTTGGAAACGCCTAGTAAGAATGAGATAGATCTGAAGTAATAGGATTTTCACGAATAAAGTGGTAACGTCTATAAACATTTGGACACATATTTCTATAACTGAAATTAAAACCGCACAGCTAACATTTCCAAATTTAGCATAGCTTGCAAAAAAATAATACTTCTATTTCTAGTCTCTGTGATATGCATTTAAACTGAAAAGAACATAGGTTGAAAATCTTTTAATAAAACAGTGAGATTTATTTTAAAATACATATCTAGACTATACTGACAAAAACAGGAATTACATATACTGATTGAGATATTGATACCATTTTCAGTCTTCCCTAAATACTTACAGTTGTAACATAATAGTAGCCCAGCTTCACCATCTTCATATACATCAATAGCTGCAACAAAATTAACCTGCAACGATAACGGGCAAGGGTAATGGATGGACAGACAGGATACTGAGGTTACTACAAACAGGTTTTGACTAAAAAGCAATGCTATCAGTGGGTGGATGTACAAAACTACAGATAAAAAATGCCATTTTCCAAATGTAGCCTCTTTTGGAATTCATTGTCAGGATGCTTCTTAGGATGAAAATCAATTTCTTTTGTATTCAATGCTGACTATACTTACATTATAAAATGATTAAAACTTACATAACTCATTTAGTAATAAGAATGCTGGGAAATGGGGTGATTTCAGGACAGATGTGAGTCTACATGCTATGCCAAAAATATCAATACTAATAAGAAAGTTTTTAAAAAAGCAAAATCCAAAAAAGCTCCACAGCATCTCACAACTAGCAAAATGACCAGAAACATCAACTATTGGATCAAAACCACTAACACTTAAAGAGATCGATATGGATGTACTTCAAGAATTACTGAGTAGGTTGAATTTAGAAGCTGAAAAATGTCACTGGATAAACTACAATGCATACCAGCATAGGCTACATAAATTCTCACACTTTAACACTGTTATTTGTCTTTTACAGTTAAATTAAGAAATTCATAACACTAATGGAGAGTAGGGTATCCTTTCAGAAAATGAGGTCTTCTTGGTGAACATAATTAAAAAAATACAAATACATATCAAATCATTAGAAACATAGGATCAGATTAGTCAAGCACTTCCCAGATCACAATATTTACTCTTTGACCATGGAGAGAAGGAAGGGATTAAATCCATGAACAGCAGCTCTTTGGCCTTCCTTTACAAAATAAGCCTACACGTTCACCTCTTGATTTAGGATGACTGCATAGGTCAAGAATTTTGTTAAACAGACCTGGAAGTTTACATATTTATACCAAATACATTTTGACCCATCCTTCGCAGTGACTGAAAGCTTGCTCTGCTTTGTGACTTGTGGCAATAATTTGGCATTCCATATCAACATCACAGAAGTCACTCGCGCACCTCATATTAATTGTCTGCTTTATTTGTATTCTCAAAGGAAATGAGGGTTACTGGAGAGCAGAAGAGGGCAGAGGGGGAGAGTTCTTCCCCGCCCCCATTCTTTACTTGTAGTTCTTCCTGATCAGGTTTAAGACAGATTTCCAGTGCTGTGGAGAAGTTTACATTGCATCGCCCATGCCAGGAGTACCAAACATTTTCATCATCAAATCTGAATAAAAATACAGACAATTTAAAAAAAAAAAAAAAACAACAACAGCTACCAACAAGAACCATCAGATGAAAAGATTAGCCCTTGATCTCATTAAGAGTCATTAAAAAAAATTTAACTGTGCAAAATATTCCATTTTTTGTGTCTAAAGTTAGATGGCCACATCCATATTTAGAAGCAATTAAAATTATCTGACTTTAGAGATGCTGAAAAGCATCATCTTCCCAGCAGCAGGAAATACTGGAACTCTCTCCTGAAAATTAGGACATTTACTTAAATCCCCAGCCCTAAATCCTAGTTAGAAAGATGCAGTCACCGTAACAGTAATATCAATGCAGTTTTTCTTTTCCTTAATGTTCTTAGTGGATTGGGCAGCAATTTCTTAAATAGATCTAAAAGCTACAGACAAATAGCTCAGCCTTAGTACATGCAAAAGTGAAAAGCTGAATGAGAGATTGGTGGCCAACAAATGAGTTTATCGTGCTGCAATTTCTTAAAAAATAAAACACTGAGACTATAAAGAAAAAGCAAAAAGTAAACTATTGACTAAGAAAGGAGAAAGAAGGCTTTGTGTTTCTGCTGACAGCGATATTCCAGAGTCTGAAATACAGGCTCTTTCCTAATGTGTCAAACCTTGTATTTGCATCTCTTGGGAGTATCCTAAAAGGAACAAACACATCAGAGTCCCCTAAAGTAGAGGTTACAGAAGTGAAAAGTAAGAGACTTGAGGAGCTCCCTAGATGATACTTCCAAGAGGCCATCACAAGATGCACTAAATCTGCAAGAAACAACGTTCAGCGTGGTTCTATGAGAAATTAGTTTCAGTGCTGAGAACTTACCTTGTTTGCTTCAACATGATGCAACCTATAGGACTCCCCAGTACTTTCATTAACTAAATCAAATTGATGCCGATATGCTACACAGATCATATTGTCACTGTCTCCAGTAGGTCCATCCACCAGTGTCATAACCACTGGAGGGTCAGAAAGGCATATTTCCTGTAATGTAAATAATCAAATTATTCTCTTTTTCAAGTTCTTACTAAGAGTACTGCAGGTACTCCGCATGAATTTAAAGTGATGTGCTGTAAGCACAGAAACCGATTTAAAAAAATCTGGATGGTTTCTTTGGAATATGTAGGATGGAACCTCATAATACAACTTCTACCTTAAATCTATCCAGAGGTTCAGGAAGACAAAACGTATGTCCTTTGCCTTCAATCCCCCTAGCTGAGTGCTGCCCAGTCTGTAAAGGTAATTAGTGATTTGATTACACATACCCGGATGTACTGGAATTCCTCTACTGGAGATTCAGATGATGACAGCAGAGAGCTGCTGGTTAAACTGTTGCATGGATTGTATTTCTTTGTGATGAGTAGTAGTTTGTTCCGAATAGCCACAACAATCCTCAGGTCACTGCCATGGTGAGTATTAATGGCATACAAATGGCAGCCTGAGGAAATAATGCTCTAGATTAACTATTTGGGGCAGGGCTTGCTTTTTTGTTTTGTATTTGTACGATAGTTAATACAATGCAGCTCTGATGCATGACTAAGATACTTTAGCATTACAGAATTACAACTCCCTCAACATTTTAATGTTATCTTCTAGAAAAAGACAAAAGGCTACGACTCTTTTGAAATGTCATCGTTTCCCCCTTACTCTCTAAGATTTGCAAGTAAAAGACTAAATACATAGATTTTTACTATTCTGCAGGTTCCAGCCTTCCAAAGAAGCTTGCTGCTGCAGATCAGAAAATGCTTACATCTACTAAAATAATCTGCAACACCCAAACTATTCTAAACACTACTTTTAAACAGAAATTTGCCAGTGCGCCTCACCCTTACAGTGACCTTTATTTCAGTCTTGCATTCCCGCATAATTCTTCTTGTACCCCTCAATTCTGAAAGCAATGTATCTATTTTCATCTAGAGCTTTTCTTTAGCAGGAATTGCCAAGTAACTTAGTACTTCTACAAAGTTCTCAAATGGCATGCTGGACTATATCCAAACTTATTTTCAAATATAAACTTAACAAAGTTTGACTTGACTATCTGGAATAAAACTAAAGATGAATACCTACCACAGCTTTAAGAGAACTATTAAAACCTCTGGCAACTACTGCCACAATACCTTAGTGGATGCTTTTAACAAAGAATAATAAAAAGCACCTTTTGTTCTCTCCAGTTTATTTTCTCTGCAGTCATATTTGCTCCTTATCATCTGCTTTGTTTCTATATCTTTTTGGACAGCACTCAGTCTGAAGACAAGGAGACGAGAGTCCTTCCCTGAAGGATGGAGAGAGCCATGAAATAACAAGTTGAAAAAAAAAGGTGGTGGCTTGAAGTGATTATTTCCAAAGAGAAGCAGCACCTAACACGCAGGGCACAGCTGGAAGAGCTAAGACAAAGCATATTGTTCTCTGGGGATAAGCAGACTGCTTGTGAACTCTGCCTAGTCTTTGCAATTCTAGGAACCAAATCCTTTCAGTTCAGTAGCAGTCTCCCATCAGGTGGTGCTGCAGCAGAGAACAATGTCAGAGCTTCACAGTACCATGAAACCTGCAACAGAGTTTGAAAACCTTCTGGATGCAAACTGACTTTTTTTTGTCCGTTCTTCAAAATTTAGGCAACTTCCAAGGCCTATTCCAGCTGCAAAAATAACACAGTATTTACTGTCACAGCTAAACCTTCATTTCCAACAACGATAGAGATGAGTGGAAAATACAACCTTAAGTTTAAATCAAATAAATAAATTAGCTGGCAAAATTAAACATGCTTTCTAAACATATAGCGTCGATCCCACTGGTGGATCCTACTGTAAATTCAAAAGCAAGATCAGAATGGATGCTGCCTTTCATTCCAATAGAACATGAATATGCATGAGGGCAAAATCTGGCCTTTGCATCACCTTCTCTTCCTGTAGCAAGTATAAAGAGTAAAAAACATAAACCATCCCTTAGGTCCACCACAATCTGAAATACTGCTTAATCAGACTCAGAGAGCAGACAAATTCTCAGTGGCAACACGGACTAAAAGAAAACAAACTATATGCAATCCCTCTCTTGTGTGCTTGTGGAGTTCACAAAAGAAGAATGGCAAGCAGCATTCACCCCTTTTGGAGGGAAGGCTGAAAAACTTTATTAGCTAAATCAAATATTCAGGCTCAGTATTACTGCTCTCATCAATTCAGTGTCTGCTTGGACTTACTCTGCTTTGTGGCGTTCAGTTAGCTATTCCAACGTAACTTGATGATTTCAGAAACAGGCAAATTTCTCAAATAAGTAGGTTCTAAATTCAGATTGCTGTGGTGGGGACGAGTCTTAATAGTCAGACAAATAGCAAGGTACAGATAATGCATACATTAGCCATTTAGAATGTCAAACAAGTTATCAAGAAGTAAACTAAGCTGTAGAATTACAGTGTGTCAATTACTTCCTGCTTTAGGTCCTGGTAACATTAGGCTTGCTCTTTTCCCAAGCCTTTTTATTCTTCATGAGGTAAGGCTATCTATAAGGTGTTTCCCACTGTACCCGAGAATCTCCTTATCATATCTGAAATTGTCCTTGTCCATGGCACTTAACCAGCTAACATCTTATATGCTAGACGCAATGATTTTGGATGCTGTCTGCTCAGGAAGTCTCACGGCGTGCTGTCAGGTTTTGGCAAGTGCAAATTATAACCCTCACACCCAAGGCTGGATGGCTGTGGTCGCTGTCTAGCAACTAACTGACCCTTTTTGTCAATCTAAGGTCCCTAACAAATTTGTGGTATCTTGCTTTAAGAAAGGAATAAAGAGTGGCTATGAAATTAATGCAACTTTTTAATTCTATGAAACCAGAAACATAATCAAGGACATGCCTGTTCATCCATTCTTACAATGGTCTAGACTACTGCACGACTCTTGGTGCTGCAAGTGTTGTCAAACATCATCACATACCTAAAAAACTACACATGACATAGTACCCTAAAATCCTTTTCCATTTCAACCAATTCTGATTTTAAGCTATTGCCACAAGCTGAAGGAAGGTCATCTTTTCTGATCTAGAATCAGCTGTAACTCTTACGACTACCATCACATGCAATGAGATCAGAGATGGCTTTGTTTTTGTAACCTAATAGAAAGTGCAGCTATTCAAGACTGAGAAAAATTTATTCTAAATTTATTACCGTTCTCCTAGATTCTGCCTCAGATTAGTCAGTTATTCATCCAGTGATAACTGCTGTGTTTAGTCTTCCTAGCTGAGCGACTATTTCAGCTAGATATTTTTCAAGGAGTCTTGGTTATGCAGACAATTCCAAAACACTACATTGTGTACCTACAGCAAAACTCAAGAACTTTCTTTGGGCAATGTAAGTGGCGACATTATTTAAACCACAAAAATGGTCATGAGCCTGCAGACGTAGTTGGAAGTATGCATTACCATCTAAGTTCAACACTGTCATTTTTGGAGGTTTTTTTGTTCCACCTTCGAAGCTCTAGACTAGGATAAAAGACCCTCCTCCTTTCAACATAATGAAGTATCATCACTTTAAGTCTCTTCCATGAATTTCTAAGTAACTTCTCCTTTGAGCCCCAGACACAGTAATAAGATAAATTTATGTTGACATAAGAGGCAACTATGAAAAAGACCCACGTAGGAGTAAGGCATAAAAAGGAAGATGATGACCATGGGCAGACAATGACTGACTCAATATCTAGTTGTCTGTTGTGAAGGTTGGAAAGTAATCAGAGCAAAGCAAGGATGATCCCTGAGGGTTATGGCAAACTTCAGAGGATCCTTTATGCTTCTCTGAAACATAACATACTTACGTCTGTAAACGTGCTATGTGCGTGCAACAGGGAATGACAAATATGATAAAATTTTCCTCTGGCAGGCATTTTTATTAAGGTAGAATAATGTCCTCTGCTCCCACTGAAGTTATTAGTTTTATATGCTTTTTAAAAAGGCGCTGGGGTAGAGATCCTCGCGGGTCACACTGCAACCCAATGGGTTGACAGTGAGCCTGCCTTTCAGCAGACATAAACCTTCACGGTTACTTGTTGCTTAGAAGAGCTCTGTCCATTTGACAGGTATGTCCTCTAGGATGCTTCACACCTCTTTCAGGATACTGGTTGCTTTGCAGGCCTCCCAAACACCCCTGCTGCAGTGTTAGGTATCTATGGCTGCCTATAAAGCTGTCAGACTATCATCTGAGCTTTTTCACAGTTTTTCTTTACCTCCTATGGACTTGATTCATACCAGTGAAGGCGCTCTTCCTCCTTCCCCCTCACCCCAACAGAAAAGTAAGCTGTAAGAAAAGAGCTGTGTTTGGATGACAAAATAGATCAATTTCTGTGCTCCACTGGCCTTGTATCTCATTACTGGGACAAATTTAATCAATGTTAGTACGGAGAGCAAAGCAATTCATCCTGCTATCACTGATAGCAGGTGCATTGGTAACTTCTTCAATGTCTTCTTCTCCTGAAAGGCTGACCTGAAAGAGCTCTTGCTGATAGTGTTATCTTCAGCTCTGGTTTCATTGTTAACGTTTCCTCTCCCTCAGAAATGTATGGTATGCTAGAAAGCAGTGGGAGCAACACTTGTTGCTTAAAAGAGCTGCCTGAAAGAGATCTCAGGCCTGGCTGTTACAAATTATTGCTGCAGAAATACTATACCCTATATGAGCAATTTCATAATACCATACTCAATTTTTCTGCTCGAATCTTAAAATGCCACTGTTTCACATTGATGCACTTAAAGTACATCAGAAGGATGCATTTAAAGTATGTGCTTAAAAAGTTGCTTATCTAACTCATTATCTTCCCCATTTTTGCTGTATCAGTGAACTGTTTTATCAGTGAACAGTACAAGTTTGACGACTAAATTTAGTGATCTGTTCTAGCAGCTTCATAAACCTTCAAAAACTTCAGCTATAACTACCCTTTTCAGATCTTTAGAAATGTCTCCAGGTGTGTTCAAAGGTCATTGCAAATGCCTTTCAGATAGTTTCAGCCAGTTTTGCAAGTATCCCAGGGTGAATTTCATCAGGCCCAACCGATTTAAAAAACATTTTACTCACTTAAAAATCCACAACGGGCTCACTCAGTATCTTTCTCCTTTCCCACTCCCTATCACCTCTCCTCTGGCTGAGTAGTGAACTGACAATTTCTTTGTTCTCACAAAATGTTTTCTTGTTACTTTCTATGTCTATTGCCAAATGTATCTGATTTTGTATTCTGGCATTTCTGATTTTGTTTTCATGTCTGTTTTCTTTTATGTTCATTCATGTGTTGCTCTGCTTATGTTTGCTTAATGTTAAAAATACACCATTCAGTATGAAATTCTCCTTTAGATTTTTAGGTTTTTTATTCTATTCTGTGGAGGTTATTTTGCCATGCTTCTGAAAAGCTCACACCAACACCATCACAAACAAGTTTCATTTACAAAAATGTCTTACTTAACGCTTCTACTTTCTCACTTGCCATATCAGATATATTTTCACTGACAGACAGATACTGTTAATATCACAGTATTTAAGGATGAAAAATGTCTTCCTGAAATACAAACATTTAATAAAAATAAAAATTGAAAATTAGGGATGAAGCCTTAGCCCTGTTGAACACAATCTGTGCAAATCCCAGGGATACCAAAGGAGCCATGTTTTACCCTAAGTTTGGGTAAATGTAACTTCAGCTAATACTGAACAAACAGATATAATGTAATAAAAAACAACAAAAACAATGTAACTACTTTCTTTGTGTTACACACAAAGATCTCGCACTTGCTTTATGTGTATGTTCGCTTTGTGAATTTCAAATCATGGACTTTTGGGAAAAACAAAAATACAAATAAAGCACATTTGGTAGAACAGTCACAGCGTAAGTAATTTCCCCCCCACCCTTTTGCACAACTGAAAGGACATATAACCCAGTTCAGGTGATTTCCAAGCAGTGCTGAGTTCAAGCAGTGGCTGAAGAAAGAACTTCCCAATTTCTGCATCAACTCTGGATCAGAAGTAAATTAAAACTGCCAGGGGAAAAGGCAAAATGTGACAGGTCTTTTAAAGATGAGCAAAAAAATCTTTTTGTTTCTTCCAAAAATGTTCCTGTTGCAAGAGGCAAGATTAAATTACTTTCTTGCAAAAGAAGAGGAATTGCTGAGATAGTAGCAAGGCTGAACATGATTCAAGTTAATTAAGAAGGCTATTAATTTTCTGCAGAAATTCTATGATATTTGGGATGTACACTCTGGATGAGAACAATTAAGGATGGGGCCAGATGCACAAATCTTCTCTCTTTTGTAAAATAGGCTCTAATGAAATGGTTCCTGCTGTCAATTTGGATATCTCATTGACTCTGATAACATTTCTTCTGTAATAGGTAAACTTCTCAGCAATCCAGGAAAAAGTGGAAATTGATAAATGGAGTAGCCTACTCCCTTTGGAGAAAGAAGCAACAGAACTTGCCGACTAGAAAACCAACCCTGCCTTTGTCAGGGTTTATGAGGATCATCTTCACGTAGCCTTATGTAAAATTTCTACAAAGAATATGATGCACCAGAAACCTCCTCCTACGGCAGAGACAGCAAAGCCTTCTTTTAAGCATCTGTTCTGACAAAAGAGCCTATCAGAGTGATGCTGAAGGGTTAGGAAAGGGCTTTAGGAACCCACCAAATGAGCTTTTGCCTATGTGGGCTGCTGAACAGATGAGGACACAGATCCAGATATACTGCAAGAGAAGGGAAACACTGCCTTGACAAGAGCTTAAGCTACATACTATCGGCCAAATACAAAACAACAACATTTGTCTATTACAGAATTTGGGATAGTTTTGTGCTCTGAAAGTTCTTCAAACGGGACCCCAGGGATGGAACGTGGCATCTTTTCTGTGTATGTCATGGTCAATTTTCTTTCCCAGGAACAAAAATGCAGCTACCATGGTAATTTTAAATAGAAATACACCACATGACCAGTTTCAGGTTTGCCCTAACAAGATCATGAATCTTTCTCACATGTCTAGGGTTTTTTTTCCTTCCTTTTAAAAGAAGGCCAGCTGTAAGTGACAGCTGTTGTATGCACTCCCTTATTCTAAACGGAGCCTCAGGTACACTTGCCACTAACAGACATGATTGCCTCATGAAACATGCAGTACCTAAAACCTTGGGACATACACATAACTGAATAGTGTTTAA